TGAATCATATAAATTGTTCACTAAACTGACATTTCTATCCTCGAAAGTTGTACGAAATTTTTGAGGTCTGCAAGTGCCAACTTCACTGGAATAAATACCATTAAAAAGTTCATATGAACAATGCAATTTCACCGAATCCATGGAGTTCATGAGAAATGTTGCCATAAAGAACCAAAATCTGTTGAAAAGAAAGAATAAATCCAAAGACTGAAATATTTTTAATTCACTTATTAACTGCAATTTCTGCATTTCTGAATGTTTTTTCTCTTGCCAATTTTTGTACAAAAATTATTTTAGCTAGTCAACTCTCAACTTGTTGCTTAACTCTCAACTTTCCTGGAACGACTAAAACTGATTTCATTGCTTCAATGATTTATAAAAGGAAAAATGTTATCAAAATTGAAAATCAAAATTGTAAATCAAAATTATTGACATCTTGTGCCAATTTTAAAGTTTTACGACAATTTTTACCACTTCTTGGAAGTTTATCTTTACAACTTTTATTGGATATGAACAATTTTATCTTTATATTTAGTCATCATTGCTGATCAAATGATAAAGAGTAACGAAATTCACCTACAAATATTCATTGTTTGATAAAATCATAAAATACCTAAAGGTAATAAAGAATATATACAATACAATACTACAAAGTTTGTAGTACAAACGACTTTCTACGTATAATCCAATTTAGGTCAAAGTTCAAATTAAGAAAAAATATTTCGGCTTAAAATTGAAACAAATCAAAAATGCAAATTAAATTTAAAGTGAACTCCATTTAAAACATTATTTGAACTTAGAATGTGAATTTTTCAAAAGTCAGCAGCTCCTTAGCTCAGACGTGTTAAATGCAGGAAAATATAAGAAAATTGAAAATGTATAGCAAACCAGAATAAAAATCATTTTAATTTGCGTTTTTCTCATAGTTATCTCATTATTCGTACTTCATTCGAATTTTATTTTTACAGACTTATGTATCTACATAGATATTGTCATTTTAATTAATTTATGATTACAGAAAATTGAAATGTTTATGCCCTTATTGTTCTTAGTTCAATAACATTCTCCATTCCATTTGTGTTGTTTGAACGAGTTCTGTTTGCACTTAATTTTCTTACAATGTTCTTCAATATTATGACATTGACGATCGTGAATATTAAAATTGAAAATAAAGTGATCAATTCAACATAAACGTCAATGTGCGATGACTTAAGCTCCATGCAATCTATTATTGGATTTTCAGACACAATTTTTTCAGTTACGCTTTCAGATAAACAAGGAGTCGATGATATTGGAGGTTTTTCGGTTTCAATGCTTTCAGTTGTTTCAGTGGACACAGAAATTTCAGTGGTTCTCGAAATCTTCGCTAAGTTTTCTGGTAGATTCCGATCGAAGATTCTTTCATCATAAAATTTATTTTCTTGGTCACATGACTTTAAGATTTCGGGTCCTAACGTTTCTAGTTCAGACTTGGAGTATGCCCATGCATGTATGCACTTATTAGCTTCAAAATCAACTATTTCTACAGAAGATGGAAGTTTATCGAAAAAATTTGAATCGATAAATCTCAAGTGACAACCGACGCAAGAAATAATCACAATATGTTCATTTCCCTTAAATAAATCTGAATGAAAATATTCGATTGGGTTGAATGAAACATCCAAAAGTATCAAGTTATTCAATCCATCAAGATCATTGCTGAAGAGAAATTGTAGATTTGAATTCCGGATAACAATAGTTTGCAACTGTGGAAAATGTGATCCCAAATTCACTGGAAAATAAGTGCACGACTGCTTTTCACCATAGAACTGAATGATGTCAAATGAATCATAATAATTGTTCACTAAACTGACATTTCTATCCTCGAAAGTTGTACGAAATTTTTGAGGTCTGCAAGTGGCAGCAGCTTGGACCGGGTAATAAAAACCATTAAAAAGTTCATATGAACAATGCAATTTCACCGATTCCATAGAGTTCATGAGAAATGTTGCCATAAAGAACCAAAATCTGTTGAAAAGAAAGAATAAATCCAAAGACTGAAATATTTTTAATTCACTTATTAACTGTAATTTCGGCATTTCTGAATATTTTTTCTCTTGCCAATTTTTGTACAAAATTGCTTCAACTAGTCAACTCTCAACTTACTGTTTAAGTCTCAACTTTCCTTTAGCGACTGAAACTGTTTCTATTTTCAGTAATTTGTAAAAGGAAAAATAAATCAATGTTATCATGTGCTAGTTCAAAATTTTACAACTCTAATCACTTCTGGGAAGTTTATCTTTAAGACCCTTTATGAAATTTGACAATTTTCTTATCTTTATAATCGATAATTTAATAAGGCAAAGTCTTATATTGACTTCACTTTCCTTTCTCACCGAATTCTGTCAAGCTTGAACTTCAAATCGTGTTTAAGGTTCTTTTCATATTACAAGATTGTCAGAATTCCTCGATTTCTTCCTACATGTTATTGAAATAAAATATTTACAACAGTACGAAATTAGAAGAAAATGTTTTAGTGAAACATCTGAAAGCTCAAAAGTATTATTAAAGAATGGGAACAATTTGTTGTTTGTTTTGAAAAAAGTTTATCTTTCCAAAAAACTTACATCATTTAGTGCCAAAATTTGACATCAGGTGAATATTTATAGATCAATCATAAAAGTTTCTTCCTCGATGGTCTAATTTCTGCTTATAAAATGATCATAAACTTAATTTCAGTTCAATCGTAGAATGGCCGGAGAAACAAAAAAAATATTTTCATTATTTGTGGGACAGTTGTGAACATCAGACGGAATAAAAATTGGATCCAAGATGAAGTAAAAAAGAATTTGTTCATATAAGAGTTTGTAAAGAAAATTTTCTTTTAATTTGTGTTTTGATCAAAATTGAATTAAAAAACTTTTCCTTATCATCTGATTAATGATTTCAATTATAAAGATAAAAGTTTCACGAATTAAATAGAAGGATATAAAGATAAACCGTCAAGAAGAGATTAGAGATATGATATAAAACTTTATTCCTTTTATAATTTGCTGTAGAATGAAATTAGTTTCAGTCGTTACAGAAAAGTTGAGACTTAACCAATAAGTTGAGAGTTAATGGTCGATTCAATATTTCAATATTTTTGTACAAAATTGGCAAGACAAAAAATTATTCAAACATGAAGAAATTGCAGTTAATAAGTGAATCAAAAATATTTCAATCTTTTGATTTATTCTTTCTTTTCTACATATTTTTCTTCTTTATGGCGACGTTTCTCATGAACTCGATGGAACCGGTGATATTGCGTTGTTCTTATCAACTAATCGCAAGGTTTTACCATATAACTACAGTTGGCACTTGCAGACCTCAGAAATTTCGTACAACTTTCAAGGATAGAAATGTAACTGCAGTGAACAATTTATATGATTCATATGACATCATTCGATTCTTAGCNATTTACTTTAAACGATGCGAAAAATGTATGAAAACGTAAACAAACTGTTTTGCATCCTACGTTAGCATTTTTTTCGCGAAAAATTTACTAAGTTTTCTGTTTTGGCGCGTTGTCGCTTATCTTTTTCTTCTAATTTTTAGAAGTATAAATAATGCGAACTTTTTTATGTGCAAATTAAGCCCAAACTTAGCAACAATATGAAGCATAATTGTTGTTTATGGTTCAAAGAGTCTTTGTTGAATTTTTTAAGCTATGGAAAGTTCAAAATGTTATTGAAATTTAAATCCAAAGTTTTTTGTGTTCACAATACCTTACAGAAAACATTGTGTTCAGAATGCTTGTCCTACCCTAAATCACTTTGGTAATCGAATCAGTTTCAGTCGTTACAGGAAAGTTGAAACTTAAACAACAAGTAGAGAGTTGACTAGCTAAAATAATATTGCACAATAATTGACAAGAGAAAAAATCATTCAAACATGCAGAAGTTGCAGTTAATAAGTGAATTAAAAATATTTGCGATCATTGGATTTATTCTTTCTTTTCTACAGATTTTGGTTCTTTATGGCAACATTTCTCATGAACTCCATGGCCTCGGTGAAATTGCATTGTTCATATGAGCTCTACAAAGGTTATTTCACGGTTCCAGTTGGCACTTGCAGAGCCCAAAAATTTCGTACAACTTTCGAGGATAGAAATGTCAGTTTAGTGAACAATTTATATGAATCATTTGATATTGTTCAGTTCTATGGTGAAAAGCAGTCGTGTCCATATTTTCCAGTGAATTTGGGATCACATTTTCCAAAGTTACAAACTCTTCTTATCTGGAATTCAAATCTACAATTTCTCTTCAGCAATGATCTTGATNCATCATTTAGTGCCAAAATTTGACATCAGGTGAATATTTATAGATCAATCATAAAAGTTTCTTCCTCGATGGTCTAATTTCTGCTTATAAAATGATCATAAACTTAATTTCAGTTCAATCGTAGAATGGCCGGAGAAACAAAAAAAATATTTTCATTATTTGTGGGACAGTTGTGAACATCAGACGGAATAAAAATTGGATCCAAGATGAAGTAAAAAAGAATTTGTTCATATAAGAGTTTGTAAAGAAAATTTTCTTTTAATTTGTGTTTTGATCAAAATTGAATTAAAAAACTTTTCCTTATCATCTGATTAATGATTTCAATTATAAAGATAAAAGTTTCACGAATTAAATAGAAGGATATAAAGATAAACCGTCAAGAAGAGATTAGAGATATGATATAAAACTTTATTCCTTTTATAATTTGCTGTAGAATGAAATTAGTTTCAGTCGTTACAGAAAAGTTGAGACTTAACCAATAAGTTGAGAGTTAATGGTCGATTCAATATTTCAATATTTTTGTACAAAATTGGCAAGACAAAAAATTATTCAAACATGAAGAAATTGCAGTTAATAAGTGAATCAAAAATATTTCAATCTTTTGATTTATTCTTTCTTTTCTACATATTTTTCTTCTTTATGGCGACGTTTCTCATGAACTCGATGGAACCGGTGATATTGCGTTGTTCTTATCAACTAATCGCAAGGTTTTACCATATAACTACAGTTGGCACTTGCAGACCTCAGAAATTTCGTACAACTTTCAAGGATAGAAATGTAACTGCAGTGAACAATTTATATGATTCATATGACATCATTCGATTCTTAGCTGAAAAGCAGTCGTGTCCATATTTTCCAGTGAATTTGGGATCACATTTTCCAAAGTTACAAACTCTTCTTATCTGGAATTCAAATCTACAATTTCTCTTCAGCAATGATCTTGATGGATTGAATAACTTAGAAGAGCTTGATGTTTCATATAATCCAATTGAGTATTTGCAAGAAATTTTATTCAAGGGAAATAATAAGCTTACTACATAGGATTGAAATGCAGGGATGTCACCTGAGATTTATCGATCCAAATTTTTTCGATGAACTTCCATCTTCTGTAGAAATAATTAATTTTTATGATAATAAGTGTATTGTAAGAGCATGGGCATCGTCGAAGTTTGAACTAGAAACGTTAAAACCAAGTGTCATAGAGTCATGTAATCAAGAAAATGAATTTTATGATGAAAGAATCTTCGATCGAAATCTACCAGAAAACTTAGCAAAAGCTTCGACATTCACTGAGATTTCTCTGTCCACTGAGTCCTCCGAAAGCATTGGAACTGAAAAGCTTCTAACATCATCGGCTCCTTGTGCATTTGAAGGCACAACAGAGAAAATTGTGTCTGAAAATCCAATTGTAGATTGCATGGAGCATAAGTCATCGCACATTGACGTTTATGTTGAATTGATCACTTTATTTTCGATTTTAATGTTCACGATCGGCAATGTCAAGATATTGAAGAACATTGTAAGAAAATTAAGTGCAAACAGAACTCGTTCCAGCCAGCAACACAAATGGATCCGAGCGGCACAACTGCTCCGCATGCAAAGCTATAGGTTTCCTTTAGCGGATTTCGTCTGGCATTTCCATATAGCATTTCCACGAAAAATCCGCTAAAGTCTCCTTATAGGAAAATTCACGTGTGAATTTTCCTACAAGGTTCCTACACGCACCTATTATCGTCACCGCACGAACTGCAACAGGAAAAAATGATTCCGCGTAGCAGTTTTTTGTGGCAACGAATATATATGAAAGTTTCTGAAGCTTCGTAATTATTTTTTTTCGTTTATAAGAGCTATAATTAAGTTTTAAAATTAAATATAAACTAAAAAAAATATAAAATAATTATAGCAATCTATTTATAAGCGTTTCTTCGTTTTTTGATTTTCAAGTTTTACCGAGTCTCGAACCCGCATCGTCTGTTTCATTTTCCAACTCCTGTGCCTCTAAGCCAAATCGTCTTATGTACAAATTTGGCAAATGTTTAATTTGAATGCTTATTTAATTTTATTATAAAATTCTTAATGCTTTTCAATAACATTACATTAAATTAATTAAAGTACATTAAATGATATTTCTTAGCTATCTGAATACTATTTCCGTTTTTAATTTCCCTTGAAAAAAATTCAAACATGAAACATCCTTGAAAGTCTAACTAAGTGCTGACTTTAAAAACCGGCATATGACGAACTTATAAAGTAATTTGAAATTGATTTGAATTTCTTCCTCTAGGAAGTCATGAGCTAAACTTCACGGAATTTCTTCACAATTGCCCTGAAAGTTTAGCACATGGCAATCTTAGGAAGAGAACATAAGGAAATTTTAAAAATTGATTTCATTTTCATCACGTTGCAACCTTTGATCAAGATTGAGCAAAATTTAACGGAATTGCTTCCCATTTGACTTAAAAAGCAAGCCGGTGATGAAAATGAAATAGGAATCTCCGCTTGTGCCGCTCGGGGGAGAATGTAATATTGAATTAAGAATAATAAGTCCATAAAAATAAAGAGATAATCGGAATATAAACTATTACTGATGGAAAATATTCGATTGGATTGGATGAAACATCAAAAACTCTCAAGTCATTCAATTCATCAAGATCATTGCTGAAGAGAAATTGTAGATTTGAATTACGGATAACAAGAACTTGCAACCTTAAGAAATGTGATCCCAAATTCACTGGAAAATATGGACACGACTGCTTTTCACCATAGAATTGAACAATGTCAAATGAATCATATAAATTGTTGACTGAACTGACATTTTTATCCTCGACAGTTGTACGAAATTTTTGAGGACTGCAAGTTCCAACTTCACTGGAATAAAAACTATTGTAAAGTTCATAATTACAACGCAATTTCACCGATTCCATCGAGTTGATAAGAAATGTTACCATAAAAAGCCAAAATCTGTGGGGAAAAAGAAATAAAAGCTTGAAAATATTTTCAGTTCACTTTTTAACTTCATTTTGTGCATATTTGAAGGAATTTTTTCAGCCAATTTATATCGAAAAATATTTGAATCGATCAATTACTTTCAACTTTCCTTTAGCGACTGAAACTGTTTCTATTTTCAGTAATTTGTAAAAGGAAAAATAAATCAATGTTATCATGTGCTAATTCAAAATTTTACAACTCTAATCACTTCTGGGAAGTTTATCTTTGAGACCCTTTATGAAATTTGACAATTTTCTTATCTTTATAATCGATGATTTAATAAGGCAAAGTCTTTTATTGACTTCACTTTCCTTTCTCACCGAATTCTGTCAAGCTTGAACTTCAAATCGTGTTTAAGGTTCTTTTCATATTTAATGATGGTCGGAAATTCTCGATTCATAGTTACATGTTATTAAAGTGTAATATTTACAACAATGCGTAATTGGAAGAAATTTTTTTATTTAAACATCTGAAAGCCCAAAAGTATTATTACAGAAAAGGAACAATTTGTTGTTTGTTTTGAAAAAAGTTTATCTTTCCAAAAAAGTTACATCATTTAGTGCCAAAATTTGAAACAAATAAATCAATCATAAAAAAATCTTCCTCGATGATCTAATTTCTGCTTATAAAATGATCATAAACTTAATTTCAGTTCAATCGTAGAATGGCCGGAGAAACAAAAAAAAAAAAATTCATTATTTGTGGGACAGTTGTGAACATCAGACGGAATAAAAATTAGATCCATAATGAAGTAAAAAAGAATTTGTTCAAATAAGAATTTGTTATAATTTTTTTTAATTCTCAGTCGATTTTTGATTTGCTTGACAGTTGCTTCGCTTATTTATTTAATCGAAGCATTGAATTTGGAATGTGTTTATGAAATGCATGAAAATAAGAATTTGGGTCACATCTACACTTGTTTTCCTCAAAAGTTCCGAACGACATTCTTGGAAAGAAATGTGACAAGTGTTAACAATGGAAATACGAGTGAACCGGAGAGAGCCGTCTTTGGATTTTATGCTGAAAAGGAATCGTTTCTCTACTTGCCATTAAATTTAGGAACTCATTTCCCTCAACTCGAAAGTCTCATTGTTGATGATTGCGATGTTCAGTTCCTAGTGAATGGCGATCTTCATGGACTTCATGACTTGATCGTCTTCGAAGTTTCACGCAATCCAATCGAATATTTGGGAGCTGATTTCTTCAAAGAAAATACTGAACTTCAGGTTATTGCGTTTCATGATTGTAATTTACAAATAATTGATCCTGGAATTCTAGACGGACTTGTTTATTTAAGATTTGCTGATTTTGAAAAAAATGCTTGTGTCAATCTAAAAATCGAAAAATGGTCAGAGTTAAAAGGTTTGGAAGAGAAGATTCTTGAGTCATGCCAAACAAATAATGAATGGTATGATGAAAGAATTTTTGATCGTAATCTTAAATTGGAAGAGTTAATAACAACTACTGAAATTCCTCCCTCGACTGAAATGACTCAAACATCTGAACCCGAATCACCAACAACTCCTTGTTTATTCGAAGGAGTGACTGAAAAACTTGTGTCGGAGACTACAAATGCAAATCAAATCCTTGAATGTCCCCAACATAATTTTCTGACATCTGCGCATTTTATAACATTTTGGTTCATTATGGTTGTCACTTTAATTAATTTGATTATTTTCAAAAGTATTCCTGATAAAAATGTATAAAAAGAAATGAAGAATAAATCAAAAATATTTACAATTAAGTTTAATTTGCTTTTTTGATTTATTTCAATTTTATCGAGAAAATTTTCTTTTAATTTGTGTTTTGATCAAAATTTGATTAATCAAACTTTTCCTTATCATCTGATTAATGATTTCAATTATAAAGATAAAAGTTTCACGAATTAAATAGAAGGATATAAAGATAAACCGTCAAGAAGAGATTAGAGATATGATATAAAACTTTATTCCTTTTATAATTTGCTGTAGAATGAAATTAGTTTCAGTCGTTACAGAAAAGTTGAGACTTAACCAATAAGTTGAGAGTTAATGGTCGATTCAATATTTCAATATTTTTGTACAAAATTGGCAAGACAAAAAATTATTCAAACATGAAGAAATTGCAGTTAATAAGTGAATCAAAAATATTTCAATCTTTTGATTTATTCTTTCTTTTCTACATATTTTTCTTCTTTATGGCGACGTTTCTCATGAACTCGATGGAACCGGTGATATTGCGTTGTTCTTATCAACTAATCGCAAGGTTTTACCATATAACTACAGTTGGCACTTGCAGACCTCAGAAATTTCGTACAACTTTCAAGGATAGAAATGTAACTGCAGTGAACAATTTATATGATTCATATGACATCATTCGATTCTTAGCTGAAAAGCAGTCGTGTCCATATTTTCCAGTGAATTTGGGATCACATTTTCCAAAGTTACAAACTCTTCTTATCTGGAATTCAAATCTACAATTTCTCTTCAGCAATGATCTTGATGGATTGAATAACTTAGAAGAGCTTGATGTTTCATATAATCCAATTGAGTATTTGCAAGAAATTTTATTCAAGGGAAATAATAAGCTTACTACATAGGATTGAAATGCAGGGATGTCACCTGAGATTTATCGATCCAAANAACAATTTATATGATTCATTTGACATTGTTCAATTCTATGGTGAAAAGCAGTCGTGCACTTATTTTCCAGTGAATTTGGGATCACATTTTCCACAGTTGCAAACTCTTCTTATCCGGAATTCAAATCTACAATTTCTCTTCAGCAATGATCTTGATGGATTGAATGACTTGTTAGTTTTTGATATTTCGTTCAACCCAATTGAATATTTTCATTCAGATTTATTTAAGGGAAATGAACATCTTTGGTTCATTTATTGCATCGGTTGTCACTTAAGATTTATCGATTCAAATTTTTTCTATAAACTTCCATCTTCTGTAGAAGTAGTTGATTTTGGAGCTAATAAGTGCATACATGCATGGGCATACTGCAAGTGTGAACTAGAAACGTTAGGACCCGAAATCTTAAAGTCATGTGATCAAGAAAATAAATTTTATGATGAAAGAATCTTCGATCGAAATCTACCAGAAAACTTAGCGAAGATTTCGACAACCACTGAAATTTCTGTGCGTACTGAAACAACTGAAAGCATTGAAACCGAAAAACCTCCAACATCATCAACTCCTTGTTTATCTGAAAGCGTAACTGAAAAAATTGTGTCTGAAAATCCAATAATAGATTGCATGGAGCTTAAGTCATCGCACATTGACGTTTATGTTGAATTGATCACTTTATTTTCAATTTTAATATTCACGATCGTCAATGTCATAATATTGAAGAACATTGTAAGAAAATTAAGTGCAAACAGAACTCGTTCCAACAACTCAAACGGAATGGAGAATGCTATTGAATTAAGAACAATAAGTCCATAAAAATAAAGAGATAATCGAGATATCAACAACGGGATATTAATGTCATAAACATTTTTCATTGGATTATAAACAGATAATTTGACACTTTTTGTAAAACACTGAAAAGTTTTGCAGTCTTAAGAATAACGAAAGTTCCAAATAAATTGTAAATTTATATTTGATGTAAAATTTATTATTCATTTGAAATAAAAATAAAATATCAAAGCTGTACAAACATTTTACCTTCATCCTGAAAAACTTTTTCTAGCCATCCAAATCGCCCACCCACACATTCAACACGCGTTACCATAGTGATAAATATTTTGTTTACAAATTGAATGTTGAAAGTTTATTTCGATGTGAAATATGAAAAATATATTTTACTAAATTATAAATAAAAGTGAGAGCATCAGCAAAACATCGTGTAATCAAGGAAATCTTAAGCTAGTCCAGAATGAGATTAAAAAGAATTTAATTAGAAGAAATGACAGGTAGATCGAAGATTCCTGTTCGTGACTTGAAGCCAATGTTTCATCAAGAATCATCGATGGATAAAGAAATTCAAAGGTCAAGAAAAGATAAATATTCGACATTTTCCGATAACTTTGTTCCCTCTGATCGAAGTAAGAGTCATGAACGACATCAAAGATCTAACGATAAGATCAAAGATTTAAGAAATTTGGTAAGGAAGTGAATTCTACGTAGAAAAATTTGAAAGTGATTTATGTAAAGTTTGTTTTGGTTCCCAACAAAAAGCAAAGTTTTTATTGCTTGCTATTATTACTAACCTACTTTCTTCCTTTGTTCTTGACATGCAATATGTGCCTCTTCCATCGGGAATATCAACGAAATATTCAGATCAATATAAAAGACAATCAAATACACGAGCTTGTAGGAAAAATCACGACATTAGTTGAGGAGAATGAAAAATTGCGAAGAGAAAAATCAATTTTGGTAGAAAATTATAATACGATTTATGAGAAATTTGACAAGACAAGAGACGACATCGTAAACGAATCAAAACGATCACCTGTTGCTGAGAATGCACAGAAAGAAAATCAAGAAATCAAAAATGATTTGAAGATGTTGAAAATTCTCGTTTTTCGATTAAATAAGCACATTGAATATTACCAAGAGTTGTTGAATGAACGGGACATAAAGTTTGATTCACCAAAAAGAGACGCCAACGAGACAGAAATTTCATCAGCGTGGGTGGTAAATTCCCATTTGCTGTCACCTTTGATGAATTCTTATGAAGAAAGACTTCGAGAAAAAAATGACATAATTAAAAACTATGAGATGGAGTTGAATCAAGTTTCAATTAAGATAAAGAAAATTCTCGAAGAGAATGAAAAACTTCATGAAATGTTTGAAAATATAAGCAAAAATTCCGAGATTTGGATATCAGAAAAAGAAAGATTAACAACGCAGTGCGATATTCTTCGGAAAAAGGCTTCGATTCATTGCAAAAGAGCTGATTTGGCGAAAGAAAAACTCGTGGAAATTCTCAAAGCTTATGAACAGAAAGTGCAATCACAATCTTTAGACATCGAGAGACTTCAAGAAGCATACAATCGATCGAAAGGTGAAATTTCAACACTGAAAAGTTTCCAAAAAAATCCAGAAGCAGTTCAAGAGTCAATTAAGGAATGTCAAAAGTAAAATGCCGAATTCTTGTCCAAATTCAATTAGTCTAAAATTTAACTTGTCTAAAATATTTTACAGACTTTTCGAAGATTTAAAAATACAATTTGAAGTTGAAAAATCACAATTGTTGGATGAAAAACACAACTTGACTTTACAATTAAATCAGCTGAGTGAAAAGATCGTCGATTATGAGAATCAGCTGTTGAACTTGAACAGTTTGATCGAGAAGCAGAAAATAACAAATGAGTAAGTCAAATGTTTTGAAAAAATATTTCATAATTCATTGAACTTCATTTTGTTTCCTTCCTCCATATTTATCTCATATTTAGATCACTTACGGAGAAGAACAAATCACTAAAGAAAAGTTTTTATCTCGAGAGACAATCAAAAGAAGAGCTTGAAAAGCAAGTCAATGAATTTCGAGATTTTGGTAATGACAAATTTAAAGAATCATGGCAGAATATCAGCGACCTTCACGCTTTGATTCAAGAGAAGGAAATAACAATTCAAAATCTGAAATTTAATCAACAAAAGGAAATTGAAGATCTTCGTCATAAACTTTACCAACGCGACCAAACTTTGAGGAAAGTTTTAGAATCAAAAATGTCAGTTGATTAGACATTGAACGCTTCAGAATTCTTTTTAAAAATGTACAAATTTATTTCATCGCTTTTAAAGTTTTGTTGACTTTTATATTTGTTTAATAAAATTTATTACAATTCTACAGTCGAAGACAATGAGGAAATTTAATTACTTCCTCGAGTGTCGCTTTCTCTCTTTAATATCTCAGCATGATCAGTTTTAATCTCATCACGAGCGAGTGAAATAATTTTCCAGCTTCAATGAAAAATATTTTCTCTCTTCACATCCAATTTTCGAACATCACACAATAACAAAGAACACAACAAGACACGCTCGATCTCCGAATCTCGCTCACAATTACCGTGATTGTGGTGAAGAAAAAGAAGACATCGGGGAAAAGACTCAAATACGTTCAAGTTCACATTTCGGAAAGATTTTCTCATTCACCGTAGTGATTTTCTCTGTCGCGGATGAACTTAAACTTCAAGACAGAAAATATTTTAATAGAAGAAAATTCGCTAAGAAAATAATTAAAAAAGTTTCGTGGATCGTAAATATAAAGTCTTGATCGGAAGTTGGATTATTTAAGAATTATTTCCTACGATCAGAGATTGATGTGCGAATCCACAAGTGGAAAAAATTGAGTGTGAAATCTAAATTTGAATCGTCTTAGATCGTCATCTCATCGATCGTCAGTTTATAACTTTTCCAAAGAAACATCATTTTAAATTGAACTTAATCAAAGCGAAACGATGATTTACGTTGATGAATTTATTGATCCAGTTGAAAGTAAGTAATTGTCTTCACCATCAGTCATTGAAATAATTGATTTTATCTCACAGCTACAAAGAAGCGAAAGAATAATGTTCGCGACATGAGAAAATCGTATTTTTGGCATAAACAGAAAAAAAATTATTTCTACTCGTTGGAAATAAATTTTGCGGTATTCGAGTGTGAAATTTCACAAACGGAATCAGAGTAAAGTTACGTGTCTAGAATATATTTCAATGATTTTAAAGCCCTAATGAACGACGTAAACGTCACAGTGACGAATTTACCTTTGAGTCAAATACGATTTTCATTAATGAATTGTGACAGTTGCCTGTGAGAAATACGACAAGTCGAACTAAATAAGAGCTTGAAAAACTATCCGCAGCATCAACAAGTTTCAAATATTTATTTGAATTGACGTTCTTGTTGATGGATTTATCATTCACATGGAGACTGACTCAATCTTCTCTAATTCCTAGAGAAACTCAGCGAATAAAGTTGAAAAGAAGGGAAGCTCGATAGAAAAATATTAAACAAAAATAAAATCGCGAATCGCGTGGAATGTTGCCAAATAAAAAAGTTTTTCCGCGCGAGATGAAAACAAGGGAAAAGAAACTGAAGAAGAAAAATCACCCGAGAATCTGTTGTGTGTTGTTTCTGACGCTATTGAAGCAAATTTTTCCTTTATTTTTTCTTGTTTTTTTCACTCTTTAGTTTTCACAACGACGACATGAATGATTGAAGGCGACTTTTCTTTTTATATTTTTCTTCTTTTAGTCGTTTCCATCAATGACCTTTGCTCCAACATGAAAATGCCAACACGGGTGGAAAATTTACATTTTTTATTTGTTTTCATGCTGTATAAGTGACGACAGATGTGGTCGTTGTACACGTGCGACTAAGTTTTTCTTGTGAAACTAAAATTTTCCTAATGTAACGAGCTCATAAAATGATTTTATTTGTAGAAAGTTGAATCATTCATTATGATATTTATAATATCGCCAAAAATGTAGATCAGTTCACGACTATTTTCCTAAATAATTATTTCCTCACTCAGCTATCATGTTAGTGGGTTTAAAGCACTTTTGCAATTAAAACTTTATGAAATTATTCTCATTTGTAAACAAGCTCGCGAAAATCACTTTTGGCAGACCACGCGCCCCCAAACTGTCTGAAATGTTAATGAATTATGTTTTGTGATCATTTCTCAAATTTTACTTGTTACCGGCTTTGCTAAATAAACCAAACAACTGGAAAATATTTTGTTAACGTCATAAGAGTGCGATCATTTCATTGTCAAAAATATATTGCTTTGAACCAGTTAAACATTTAACGTTTCTTACTGTTTCGACAATGTTTTGATTACAACGAGGTTGTAGGAAGATTGATTGTAGTTCACGTGCTCGAAAAACTTTAACGCGAATTTCTTTCCTACAATGTGAACGCAAACTCGTTTTGTTTTTGCACAGCATTGTGAATATCTTTTCGTTTATCCTACGTAATTAAAATCTGTTTTAAATATCAAGTTTAAAGAAATATTTTGTAGATATATGAATCAAGGTTTCAAATACCATGAATTCTAGAATAATAAAATGTTTTATTCAAGGTTTATGTGACATAAAAAATATTCTGAAATTCAATATTTTAAGCATTTAAGTTGCAATTAAATATTTTTGAAAGGCGTTTAACAAAAATATAATTTACATCTGGAATAATTAAAATATTGTTTTGCACGAATTTTCAATTTTTTTATTGTTTATTTATCTAACATTAGATGATGCATCTAAAGGTTTCAAATTTCATTATTATAGATACAGAAGCGCCATTTCCATACAGACAAGTGAATATAAAACAAGATGAGAATCCAGCGGAGCATTACAACATTCTACCCGAACTTGGACGTGGAAGCTTCGGAACAGTTTTTCTTTGCAAGGAGAAAACGAGTGGAATGGAACTTGCAGTAAAAATCGTTAATTATAAGAAGAAGAAAGAAAAGTCCATGATGGAGATGGAAATTGATATTTTATCAGGTTTAAATCATTCTGCAATCATTCAAGTTTACGATGCATTTGACTTCGGAAACAAACTTTACTGTTTCATGGAGTTGTAAGTTTCGTGTGATGTAATTTATCACGTTACGAGATTTTATTTGCACTTTAATAGGATCCAAGGAGGTGAATTGTTTGAGAGAGTGATTGATGAAGACTTCGTGTTGACAGAAAAGGCTTGTGCTTGTTTCATGAAACAAATCTGTGAAGCTATGGAATATTTGCACAGCAATAAAATTGTTCATCTTGATATGAAAGTAACTCTGAATATAATTTCCTTAAACTTAATTATATTCTTTTTATTTCTTTTTTGTTTTTCTTTTAAACACAGCCAGAAAATGTTTTATGCCTTTCGAAAAGCGGAAATAGAATAAAAATTATAGATTTTGGGTTTGCGCGACGTTATGATCCTAATAAAAAGTTACAAGTAAGATTTGATGTCATTTTCGTTTGAAATCATTTAAATTATTAAATAATCAGGTGATGTTTGGAACTGCTGAATTCTCAGCGCCGGAAGTCGTAACATTCGATGAAATCAGCTACAGTACCGACATGTGGTCAATTGGCGTTATTTGTTATGTGCTGTAAGTAAGCGTTAACGTTTTCTTAGTGATGTTTAAACTAAAGCAAGTCATTTGAAAATGACAAATTCGAAGCATGCTCGAAAAGTCTGAACAAAGAAAGTTTGTGAAAGATGTTCGCTCATTCCATAAATTGATTCCTCAATGCAAATGTGATCGTTATTTTCTGTTGAATTTCCTTTTCTGTTTTTCATTTTTTATTTCTGTTTGTTTTTGCAAAGAAGAAAGAAAAATTCAAAACCAAGTTTAATGTCTTGGCCATACGAAAATTTCTTTTTGAAGCCTTGTTTGTTGATGTTGGAACTTGTAAGTTGCACTATCATTCATTCAAAGTCAGTAAGAAATATGTCGCGTTTTATTTCCGTTTTTATCAACGATTAGCGTTCATTGAGGTTTCAGGAATCTGAAAAACGTTGTTGGGAAAGTGCATAGTTTAGGAATATCAAAGATAATTCGAATTGTGTACTTTGTTGACAATTTAAGTAATTAGATCAATTAGCTGTAGTCGTGTTGACAAATACATTAGTAAACTGACACATTTTAATCCTCTACTTCAATGTAGTTTGTCGGGTCTTTCACCCTTCGTTGGCGCCGATGATTTTGAGACAATGACAAATGTCTCTCTTGCAAAATTTTCATTCGATTACGCACCTTTTGATGATATCTCAAGTCAAGCTAAAGATTTCGTCGAAAAGTTATTGGTGAAAGAACCATCAAAACGATTAACAGCGAAAAATGCATTGAATCACGAATGGCTTGGTTGCACAAAGGCATACCACCCGGAAAGAGAAAGGGCGCTATCGTTGACAAAAACCAAATTGAAACGCTATGTGATTCTAAGACGGTTTGTATTATATTTAAAACCATCTCATTCAACCTTTTTTCTAAATATACCTACCTATATATTTTGTATTAATATCTCTTTCATTTTACAGTTGGCGTAAAGCAGCATTAAGCATAATGTTTTTGAATAAACTTAATAAATTAAATGGTGAAGGTCATTCTGTGAATGTCTAAACCTTAAACTATACTTTTAATTAATTAATAATTTAATAAAGATACCTATTTTAACCAAAACATAAGCTGTTAATTAAATTTTCAATTTTTTAAATTTCTTCATAAAAATATATTTTTCGAACACTTTAAAATTTTAACGGCCGAATTATTTTTGAATTTACTGTGGTCCCGAATATAAGTTGCACATCAGTCACAACAATTTTTTGCTCGCAAACAAAAGTTTTTCATAATTAATAAAAGATTCTGTGTTCTTTTAAAATCAAAGCAAGTCAATGATATTTTAATTTGTAAACTTCTGTCATAGTATTTATGAGTTGTTGAAAAAACTCTGTGCTTATTGTGTTCTAGAAAAGAGAAAAAAAAAATCAAAACAAACAAGAATTAATTTTCTTCGTATTTTGTTCGACAGCAGAATTTCCCGCTTTCAATCATCTAAATTCTCATTTTGATAATGTGAAGAAGTTTATTGAAACTCATTTCATTTCATTATTGATCTTATGAAACATATCTGAATAGAAATCCATTAAATGTGGATTTTAATAACAACAAGCAGTTAGGCAGTAAGAAACTCAAGATGTCTGGATATCGTTGCGTAAACTTCACAGATTTGTGTCGCTTGTGTTCAAGTGCAGGAAGTAACAATATTTCAATATTTTCTGATGAAACATTGCAAAAGAAAATAACCGATTGCTTGCCAATTGTGCTTAATGAAAAAGACAAACTTCCCAAAGTGATTTGTTTTCAATGCCTCGAATATGTTCAAGTGTTCTCAGACTTTCGTCAATCATGCTCAAAAGCACAAAAAATGCTTGAAAGCTGCTTAAATTCGTCGAAACTTAGAAATGGCGGTCAAGTTTATATTAAAGATGAGATTCCAGTCAAGAAAGTTCTCAAACCAGTTCAGAATCCTTCACCAACAAAAATCATTCCAAGCTTAAGCAGCATTGGTAGCATTGTAAACAAAAAGAATGTACTAGCTTCACCAACTCAACCTGACTTTCTCAGTAGTATCATGCAAGCTGTAGGAATTCAGGTAACTAATAAAAAATTATTTAATTAATTTAATTTAAATGAAATTATAAAATTTTAGACTAATGATGAAGCTTCAGAGAACATTGCATTCTCACAGAATATTCAAACACAACAGCAAGCGACAATGCAATCAATTCCTCAGTATACATTGACTCTCGATGGTGGAACTTTAAAATCTGGTCAAATTCAATATAAAATTGAGAACGCGGCCAATCTGAACCTACCAGCGCAACCACAACTAATCGGGAAGAATGTGCAAGAGACTCAAAGTCAACAGACAGGACCGATGACAGTTGATGAGTTTCTTAAACTAAATAAGAAGCCAATGGTGATGAAGAAAAGTCCAATGACTGTTACGCAAGTTGATGAGCCAAAAAGTAAGAAACCAAAGTTTAATTTGATTCTTCAAACGACGCCACAAAAACAAAAGATTGGATCTCAAGTGACAATGTCACCATCACCTAAATCTATTGTATCAGGATCATCATCAACAAATCAGACGCCATCAAAGCAGCAAATTCAAATTCATAACATTGAGCAAATTTTACCAGTTAATAATCAAACATCACCGTCGAAGCAAATTGTGTTACCAATAATGGTTCGTAACGATGGAACTAGAAATGCTGATGCAGCACAATTAATCTCACAAGCATTAACAATGTCGAATAATCAAAGTAACCAAGAGAACAAACCACAAGCGAATCCACCTTTTGCTTATGTTCAAATGAAGATTCAACCGAATGCTGATGGACAATTTACTTTGACACCAACGTCAACAATTCAAGCTCCACAACAATTGCAGTTATCTTTATCACCACAACAACTTCAACAATTGAGTTTTCAATCGCCAATGCAACAACAAACGCAACCATTACCAATTCAACCACAGATCACTGTGACGCAATTGCCAGCACAAGAACAGATTGACAGTCAAACCCAAACAACTCAACAACTTTCGGTAAAGAAAGAAATACAAATAGAGGAGGAAGATGAAGTAGAAGAAGCTTACGACACTACCTTCAATGATGATTACTTCGATGATAACGAGAATGATGATTCGATAGCGAATGAGTCGCATGAGAAAGTTGCAGTTTCACCACCAAAGCCATACATCATAAAAAAAGCACCAAAGCCAATTAAACCTGCGAAGAAAGTTAAGAACGAGAATTTAACTGAATTGCAAGCTGTACAGCAAGAACATTCAGACATGGCAAAGAAGCAACTGAATCAATTAACGAGTTTTAATACGAAACGTGCTGAATCTGAGAGTAGTGAGAAACTTTCAGAAGTTAATCTTACGGTTTGCGATGTTTGTAAGAAAGTTTTTAAGAGAAAAGAATTTCTAATGCAACATTTGAAGTCACATATTGGATTAAGGCCATTCAAGTGCGACGAACCAACATGTAATAAATCGTTTAGTCGAAAGGAACATTTACTTCGTCATATTGTGTCGCATACTGGAAAGAAAATGTTTACGTGCGATGTTTGCAACAAACTTTTTAGTCGGAAAGATAATCTGAATAAACATCGAAGGTAAGAAAACCTTAAAAATGTTTTGTGAGCTTTAATTTTATTATTTTCTTGTTTAGAATTCATCCTGAGTCAGGACAACAAACAATTCGACATAACTGTTCAAATTGTAACAAAGGATTTTCACACAGAGCTCAACTCGCCAAGCATCAATTAATTTGTGATGGAAAATCTGACACCAACGATGAGAAAGATGAAATTAGAGATAAGCAAGAGAAGGTGAGAAACTTTTACAAAAGAAAATCTTAAATCGTGAAGTTTTGGTCAACATTCTTAAAACTAATTTAATAAAAAATGTCACTCATTAAATTAAGTTGTCTGTCTCTTGTTTTTCTAATAAAACTCAGACAAAAACATCCTCAAATAAAAAAGTTAAGCAAAAACCGGAAAAGAAGACGACAAATGTTAAAATTGAATCATTTGATCAACCGCAAATCTTGACGATTGTTCAACAACCTCAGCAACAAGAATCACAGCAACAGCAAATAAAGCTGAAAAATGAAAGTCAACCTCATCAAATAATTCTCTCAATGTCGCAAGCTCAAGCGATGCTTCAATCACAACAGCAGAAAGGCGCTGTTTACACATTCCCAACGAACTTGATTCTCAACACGAACGGCGCCTTCATGACGAACGCTGGAGAAGTCGTCAGTAACTTCAAGTTTGATCAAAATCAATAAAAAGGATGGGAAGGAAGATTCAAGAATTTAATTTAAATGTTTGATCTAAATTGAAAATTAAGATTGTCAATTTTTTTGAGTGATTAATTTAATGTTAGAAATTTAAGACATGCACGACATAGCGAACTATAAAATTGATTTTGAATGCTATGCAAGCTCAAAGCCATTTCAATGTAAATATTTAATTAAATGACATTTGCATTCACATCTTAGATAATCTTAAGAGCACCTGCACCGACTTCAAACGAATTTTTCCCTTTTACAAACATAAGAAAAGAAAAAATGACGTCATTGCTTTGTTTTAATGGCAAATCTTAGTAATCGAGAAAGAAAATTTGTGTAAATTGATGTGAATAAAATAAGAATAAAAATTTGCAAAAATTAAACTTTTAATCTATTTGAAGTGCTTGTCATTTCAGCATTTATAAATTGCTAATTATTTATGATTTTTCGACATCAAAAGAATTTTCTCAAAATTTGAGATCATAATTCATGAGAAAGGAAATTCGAATCGATCGCATCATTAAATTTTCGATACATGATTGATGCTTTTCGCATGTGACTTTTCATCTCTCTTCGATCTAAAAATAATTTTTTTTCATCTCACGACTTTCTCATTCATTCATTTTTTGAGAGTTTATTAAATGATGATTCCAACATATTATGAAAGTAAATCAGAGAGTGAAGAACAAATAATGTCAAGTGAAAGGAAAGCTAAAGCATTTGTCACATTAAATTTACCGAGGAAGCCTAAAGAGAACGACGTTATCATCATTCGTGCAAAACTACGCAAAAATCCCAATGAGTAGACGAAAACTGATTAAAAGTTTTCATAAATTCAAAACAACAAGAATTTTGTTTTCATTTTCAGATTTCGTCTGATTCTCGGTGTAAAATCGATTGATGATCGCAATTTGAGTGTTGAACCATCGATGATTGCTTTAGAATTTAAAACACTTTTTGTGGGTGAGAAAATTAAAGCTACGACAAATTGGAAAACNTTCAAAATTTGAGATCATAATTCATGAGAAAGGAAATTCGAATCGATCGCATCATTAAATTTTCGATACATGATTGATGCTTTTCGCATGTGTCATCTCTCTTCGATCTAAAAATAATTTTTTTTCATCTCACGACTTTCTCATTCATTCATTTTTTGAGAGTTTATTAAATGATGATTCCAACCAAGGGGTATTTCATCATAGTGCTTCTGCCGGCTGCCTCTAAATGGTGCTTCAAAAAGCCCATTGATTGATGATCGCAATTTGAGTGTTAAACCTTCGATGATTGCTTTAGAATTTAAAACACTTTTTGTGGGTGAGAAAATTAAAGCTACGACAAATTGGAAAACTGATACTGGTTGGCAAAATGAAGAAGTCATCGATTCCGATTGGATCGACTCGAAAGGAAGTGAGTTAAATTGAATGGCAATTAAAAATGTTTCTAATTTTGATTTCTTGCAGTTGTTAGGTTGACATTGACGTTCGAAAGCACTTCTGTGCTTATTACTGACATCGGCAGCAGTCTCATCACTAAATTTCCTTTAAACTTTGAACTTGAAAGAGTCAGCAGACTTCAGTTGTGGGGAAATATTAAAGAATTACAAGAAATTTCCTTAAAATTTAATCAACGAGTTAAGCGACGAAGATCACCAAGAAAGAAATCAAAATGATCAACAAAATTTATTTATTTAGACATTTTAAAAGAAATTTTCAAAACTTTTTGTATGTTTTCTTAAATTTTCCTTTTGGATCTTCTTGCTTTGGTTTCAGTTTGTTGTGAAGAGAAATGTGCAAAGCTTTTGCGTCTTTGGAGTTTCCAATCATCTCACTCAATTCATTTTCATTCAACTTCAGCAAATCTTTTAAACTTTTTCCTTTTCTCATCACAGAATGAACGTTCTTAAGATTTATTCCAGGAAGTTTCATCAAAAAGTCGTGGACAGTTGCGTTGTACTTCTCAGTGATTGCTTCAAGTTCCTGTGTCGGGTCATCTAAGCCTGCTTGAACAGCAACAGTTGAGTCTGGTTGATCTTTATTAAGTTTAATTTCTTCAAACAATTGAGCTGTTGCATATGGTGACGGCGACCACACCAGCCTAAGCTTTGGAAAATGAATTGTCAGCAATTGAAGTTTCTGCATAATTTCTGAATTGTTAATCTCAGTTTCTCGTGACAACATATAACGTCCTTGCAAGTGAAATGGACGATTTTGATCAAACTCAATGAGAAGAATTGGTTTTGTGTAGAATCTTGTCATTTGTTGACATTGATTGTACAAACGGCCGCTATTTAACGATCCAATTAAATCTGAAATTGATTTCCTTTCCACACAAATATCGGGACTTAAAATGTAATCACCGATTGTGATCATCAAAGGCACAACTTCAATCCCACGTTTGTGAATTAAGCACGGCAATTCTGATCGGAATTCACGACTATCGACGATGATTCTCGGTGGTTCTTTCTTCTTTGAAACATCATTTTGACCTCCAGCTTGTCTTGTTGACACTTTTTCTTCATCTTTTTCTCCGTCTTCATCTCTTGCATGATCCATAACATCAGTTTTACCATCTTGATACTCTGGAACGACCATAACGCGCTTCGTATCGATCAACATCTCAAAAGCTTTCTTCTCACGACGAAGATTTGTCAGAAAGTTTTGTTCTTCAACCGTCTTTGAATGCATAAGAACAAAAACTTTTAATCGTCGTTTCGGATGTCTTTTAAGTCGCGCTTCGAAGATCTCAATTTGTCTGATTGCTGTGACGTTTGAATTGTACAAAACAATATATTCCGGTTGCATTTCTTGAAGTGTTTGATCCAACGATGACATCTTTAATTGATCACTGCGAAATGTTTGAATGACAACTGTCGGCTTTTGCATGTTGGCAATAATTGACGTGACATTGAGTTGATCGGAAAGATTCGAACACATTTCAAATTCAACATTCTCAGCTTGTGTTAAATCGAAGTCATTAGCTGAGAAACTTTCATTGCCATCAATTTTTTGTGACATTGTGAGAATGTAAGAATCTTTAAAACAGTCTATGTCGTCTTGGAAATCATTCAATTCATCAGCTTTTAACTCTTCGTCTTTTGAAGCTTCCTCATGACTTTCATTCTTTCTTTTTCTCGACTTCAACAAACTCATAACAAGCGGAACTTTTTCAGTCTTTTGTGTTTTGGATGTTGTCGGCTTTTCAGGGTATAATTGAAGTTTTTCTATATTCATAGCATCACCGACAATTCCACTTCCACCGCCATGAATTGCTTTGTATTTTGAGTTTAATTTCTGTACACTGACGTCATTCTTCATTGCCGTCCAGAAAAGTGTTCTTTCAAGACCTTGAGTTAAATACTGATTTAATTGATGACATGTCTTGCCTTCGTTACAAAGCACAAGAACTCTTATTGGCTTCTCTTTATCAAAGTCAATTCGATCATCTTTAATATTTTTCTTGATATCCGCTGGAATCTCAACACGAAGAATTTCACTCAAAGCTTTCCATTTTGGACAAGGTTCGGGGTCAAATTCATCTTTGCTGTTGAAGACACGTTCCTTGGAGATTTTAAAAACTTGTTCAGCTGCTGTTAAAAGAGTCCAACCACTGTTTGACATTGCATATTCTGATGTTCGATACTTTCGAAGCGATGAGAAAAGCGACACAGAATCACCGTAAATTGTCGTGCTGGTTAATTAAAAAAAAATTAATTTATTAAAAATTTCATGCAATTCAACTTACAACATGAGATTCCGTAAAACTTTAAGATCAGCAATGAGAAGTTTTGTTTTTGCACTCAGTTGATGCCAAATCACGTCGAGTTGAAGTTGTAAAATCTTTTGAAATTTCTTCGTGATGCAATTTTCAACAGTAACTTCCTCAAGATCCACATTTGGATTGATGCGCTTCAATTCCTTCACTAAAAAATTCATTAAATCGAGTAGATTTGTTTGTAATTGTGTCATCTTTTGTGTCATTGGAATGTGAAACTCAATTGACGTGGGTTCGAAAGCTTTCAAGTTCTTCTGAATCAAAGCATGAAATCGTGGCCACAAATAAAGTTCACGAACGAAAAGATTCCTCATCACTTTTTCCTATGAATTTAATTTTATTAAATTTGAATAAAGTTTACTTGAAAGTTACTCAGAAAATGGTCATAGCCGTAAGTAAAAGCTTCAACTGACATTGTAAACGCTTTAATGAATCCCGTTTTGTTTTTCTGTCGATAAAGTCGCAATGCAAAAGCTTCTTGACAGGATTCAATGATTTCATGAGCCCTAAGAACAAATATTCCCGTGATAAGTTCAGTTGGAACTCGATTTTTTAAAAGATCCAGGACCAAAACTTGTGTTGAGATGAAATGAATTCCACCAGATAAATAAACTTTTTCACGTTCGTTACCATTGCTTGATGAACATGTGGAGGGTTGAGGAGTTTTGTATAATATCTTTCTTCATATCCGTCGCTATTCAAAACAAACACAAGATTCGAAGGATCGACCGAATTAAATGATCAACTGAAAGACCTTCAAGTTGATTTCGACGAAATTCAAGCATTGCGAAGAAATAAGTACAAACAAACAACTTGAAGAGAAAAAAGCGAAACTCAATTCAATGAATCAATACGAAATTTCGAAGGATCAAGAAGAGAATGAGAAACAAGAGAAGTTGCGAAGCACAAAATGAATTCTATAAATCCCAGAAATCTATGGGTACAAAAAGGAGTGCCGGCTCCAGCCGGCACTCGACAGGGAATTACTAGTTAATGGAAGAAGCGATAAAATATCGAACAGAAAATGGAATCGAACGAGACGATTTTCTATCTCACATCATTTCTTTGAAAAAGAAGAAAAATATTTCAGGTAGATTGAATCAAACT